ACCATACTTGGTTTTATTTGGTTTTTCAGTTACTACTTTTGTGTGTAGTAATGAAGTGATATCATTGATTTGATTGCTATCATTGAGTTTGAGGTCAGGAAGAGCACAATTAATTTTTTTTACCATGTGGATTTGTCTCACTATGTGTTCTTCTAACAATGCAAACAAAATGTCAGCACTGAGAGTAGAGTGATGGAGGTTTCTGGTAACAATTCTAAAAGAACGCTGAATGCAAGGACGAAAAGTATGGGAACTGACATTAGTTTCTACCAAATAGTTAGCCAAAGCCTTGAAATCATCATTACCATTGGGACAGACAATAAAGTGTGAAGGAGTGAACTTACATATATACTCATTAGGGCCGACGGTTTTAATACATTCTTGAATGCAGGGAAGTTATTGATGTTTCTGATGTATAGAGGTGGAGCAATGGGCTCAGCCTAGAGGTCCATGGGAGGGGGTGTCTGTACAACAATGTCGTTGAGGAAGGATAGAGCCGCATCAAATACGGAGTCATTACCAGTGTTGATGGAAGCAAAACGGTTAGGCGAGGTAAAAGTTTTGGTCTTTTCCACGTGAATAGGAGAATTTGAAGCATTGGATAATATTTGTTTTGATGACGTAGGCGTACGAGGCAGACTTACCGGAACAGACCATAATATTATATATGTTGAAAACTCTAAAGTAATTATAAAGTCAAAATTAAAATGTCGTTAGCATATCCTAAACTGTAAAATTGTTTTTGTTAAAAATGGTCATAATCATCATTATTTCTAAAACATATTTTGATTCTATTTTTCTTTGAATGAGTTATTTCAATTTTGTGTATTTATAATTGATTATTCAAAATATTTGTCTTGTTAATTGAAATTATAATTGATAAATGATTTGTGATTACTGATCGCCTACAAAATATGTATGAAGAATAAGGTATTTACAGTTATGTGACAACGACATTGATTTTGACTTAATATTAATTAATGTGGGATTTTGGGTTAAAGATAGATTGGAACCCTGTTTGATTTTCCTTCATGTTTAAACTTATTTTAGTCTGTTTACTCTACTGATTTTTATGTATTCTTACCAATGCTCTAAACAAATTATTTATATCTATTTTTCTGTATTAAATTGTTACAGATTTAGTTAGTTTTTATACGCTTCCTTCAACTATTATGCATCATCCAACTTATCGTACATTAAAGGCAGCATACTCTTTTTATAATGTATCTACTAAAACACCGTGGATTGAACTCATGCAAGACGCTCTTATTTCAGCTAGAGATGTATGTTACACTAATAATAATATTATTATTTACTATTATATTAATGCAATTTATGTTATTTAGGCTAATTTTGATGTGTTCAACGCCTTAGACCTAATGGATAATAAGGAATTTTTAGAACCACTTAAATTTGGAGTTGGAGATGGAAACTTACAATACTATTTATACAATTGGAAATGCCCTGAAATCAATAGTAACAAGGTAATAATTAAATATTTAATTATTTAGTTGTACACATTCAAATTAAATAATCTATATTACAGATTGGATTGATCCTTCAATAATAGAAGTGTCACTAAATAAAAGTTGAATAATATATGTACAATCTATGAATAATAATTAATCCCAACAACGATTGATTAATAATGTAAGTTATATTTATAAATATATATTTTTTCTTTTTTTGAAGCATTTTGCATTGTAATAATTTTTTAATTGGTAAAATATGAATTTAAAATAGTGCAAACAAATTAAATACTTAAGTTTTAATGAATGTTGAATGTTTGTTAGGGAAAAAACAACAGACAGTATATTATTGTGTAGTTGTTAAAAATAGCAAATTTCTCTGTCACAATTTTTCATAATAATATACATTAGGTTTTGGAATTTTTTTTGTAAAGGTAGTTTATTATTGATTATACCTTTTTAAAATTGTATGATCACGAATAAAATATTTTGTGAATTTATATAATAAACTATGGTTTTTGATACTCTAATAAATTGTCTTATATTTGTTAAATATGATATATACATAATTTTATATTATATACCTTATTGATTTTTTTTGATATTTCTAAGTACAAAATTAATCATTTATTTTCCCAGTTATTAAAATAATTTAAACTCATTATTATTATATCTTAATTATCAATTAATGACTTTGTGAGTATACTTAAAATACAAATATTATAAATATATATATTTCATTCAGAATTGAATATAATTTATTGTCATTAAATATTTTTAGAACTAGCCATGTCTGCATTATATTTATGTGGAAAACATTTAATTAAGAAAATTTGTATTGCTATAAAATACATTGTTTTATAAACACCCACGAGTCAGTCACAACGTATACATAATATCAGTACCTCCAATGTCGAGAATATTTCGTTATATTAAATATAATATAATAAATATAATATTTTTTACATCCTCCTAAAAGTATAACTATTATTTTATATTGCGAGAGAGACAAAGATAGCAAATGTTGACAATACTTGACATGATGTACATAAATACATTTTATTATAGTACACTATTATAAAAAGTATATTTACATAGATGTCTGAATGTATAGTAGAACCTCGATTAATCATCAATCATAGAACTAGAGTGAAGGTTCATTGAGTAATGACTTTTCAATGATGACGTATACTCATGTGCGCAATATAGACACATACTCAACAACGGAGATGGGCTACATATTTTAAAATAAGAATCTTGATACAAGTTTTAGATACTAGATGTTTAAATACATCATTTTTCACCCTTTACAGATACAAAAATATACAAGATCATTTAAAATTGTTGAAAATATTCTAGATACTCTGTTTTTACCTTTAAATACAAGTTACTATATTTAAGGTATATTTTTTAGTAATCAAAACTATTATAAGCTAATATTTATAGCTTATTAATTTATTACTTATCTATATTATTATTTTTAACTTGGTAAAGTTTTTAGTTATATACTTATATATTAATATTTTATTTTGGTTGCATATAATTAATGTTATGATGTTTATGACCTTAAAAATACTGAAAAATGCATCCAAATATGACATTCCTGTTCACTGGTTTCAATCATATGCTGTTAGCATTGATATTAAAGTAAATTTACCTATTTTCAAACTGATATGTAAGAACATTATGTGTGTTGCATTGTCGGTTTTTACAATATTTTAATTTTTAAGTGAAAAATAAGCATTTTAAAATATTAATACTTTACATAATTTTAACTCACTTAAAAATAAAAGAAAAAAACAATATGAATTAATTTTCTTACCTACCTAAAAGTTTGATACTTGGTTTATTCATTCTTATATCAAAACTAACAGCATACTATTGAAACTAGGGAACGGAAATTTGCTATGTTGTACGTGTGTTCTAGGGGTACAACATATGTGGGTGAGATGTGTACTAAATTAATAAAAAAAACATTTTTAACTTCACAAATACAAATATGCAAAAAAATATAAGCTTGCATTTGAAATATGTTGTGTAGTAATGTTAGTAATGTGTAGCAATTTTAAGTTCCACACAAGTACTAAACAGAATAGCACTAAAATATCTATTGAAAATACATCCTCCCCAAACTCTATAACAATTTAATGTTGTCAAGCCGCATTGAAACATTTAATTTTGGTCATTTTTAGTGAGGCTAAAATACGTTTTTAAAGTTAAATAATTTAGTAAAACAACTACCATATAAACACATTTATTATACATCTTTTATTGTAATGGTATATTATGGTATTATTTTTTTTTGTTACAAGTTCAAAAATAATTTATACTGCAGGCACTTTGAAAAGTTAAGATACTTTTGAAACTTATATCACGAATAAACTAATGACTATGTCAATCAGCTATCGAATCAAAAATATAAATTTAATAACGTTTGGATTATTAATATTTGCTGTTAAATTAAAAATAAAAATAAATCACACCTTAAAACTGAGGCTTAGATTGAACATGATTTTTAAAAAAAATATTGATCTTAACCGACGTCAAATATAGCCATTTACATGACATACAATTAACATGAATTTACATGAATTACAGTAATTTTAATTCTTTGGCTAAAAAAACATTAAGGCACAGTATGCCGTCAAATTAATTGAAGATTTTGCCAAAATAAAGGCTCTTTGAAAAAGTTCTTTAACTTTGAACATTTATTTTATCATACCTTTTTTTTTTTTTCTATTTGAACCGACGGCGCAGCGGGGACTGCTTTCGCATTACTACCGCGACGCTGCCATTTTTTATCATACCTAGAAAGGGCTAACATAAATATTTTGTAAAAATTTAAAATACTTTCTACATTTAATTTTTTAGTTGTACAACCAAAAGAAAGATTTATTTTCCCATAAACTGTTCTGTGAATTGCCTATCATTTATTTTGAAAAAAGTAATTTTAACTTTTATGCCCTCAAAGAATCAATTAAGTCAAATTTGGTTCTAAAAAAACACTTGGTAAAAATTGTAGAAATAGGCACAGCATACAGGGCTATCTATTGAGCTTTGTATACGTTTGAGTTTTGAGTAGACATTCTCTTAATTTCTTTGTTAAATTAAAAAAATATATAAATCTTCACTTGTAATATATTAATACAAAATGCAATTAACAAATGTCAAAAGATACAAATTTACTTAAGATATAACTATACAGGTATTTAAAATATTATTATGCTCTCTAGGTATAACTAAATAAACAAAATACAATTTCATTTTTGTATTTAATATTTCAACCTTTATTATTAGACAGTTAAAATAATATAATTCTGAATTAAAACAAGTAAAAATAAATCTTGAACACATAATAATTATTTAAAATATAATTATGAATAACAAAATAAAATGTTAAAATTGTTTATACAATGTAATATTTACAACAAAAGTTTAGATTTTGACTTTTCATTATATTTATTACCATTGATAAAATATACATATAAATGTATATCAATGATATTACTTTTATTATTAATTATGAATGTTTAAAATTGGCTATAAGATCACAGATTTAAAATTTAATTAACTTTATATTAATTCATAAAACACACAACAATATTAACAACATTATAATTCATCAATCAACTGTTGATAGAACTTCCATCAAATTAATTTTATAATCAAATCAAATTTCATAAAAATTATTGAATTAAAAATTTTAGAATTAAAATACATATAGATCAAGGTACACAAATTGTATTTAAACTATTGATTTAATAATAGATATATTTTATCTTAAATAAATACACTATTAGAAAATAATGTAAAATTACTACTGTATGATTATGTATTGGTTTTAGATGTTCAATAAAATATAATCTATTTATAATTTTGTTTATAAACAATATACGATAAGTTAAGCTAAACATTAGAACTAAAAAAATATTAATTTAATAAGTATTGGGCACCAACAATTGAAGAGATTCATATTAATTGTTGTGTAACAATTGTGTTCGGAACAAAGTCCATAAATTAGTAATACCTTGTAAATAGTTTAAATCAATTTTACCATCAGCTGGAGTTACATGTGCAAAATCTATTAGCGATACTCTTAACAAAGGATAGGTGTTTTTATCATTTGTTAATGTCTCTGCATCATATGCTAACAGAACCGAACTAGAATAGAAATGGTAATGTTTTTGAGTTTGGAAGTATCGTCTTATGTGATCCAATTGTTTTGTAAAGCTTTGAACTAGATTTTCTAGACCTAGATATCCACTATTAAAGTTTAAAAATGTCTCGAACACTGAAATTATAAATTTTATTTAGTAGAATATAAAATTATTATTAGTTAAATTAACTATAAAAATATACCAGAGATCACTTTCCCTGGATCTAAACTTTTTCCAAATTCTTTATCATATTTCTGTGGCTGTACCAAATCGGAATTCAATAAATCATACACTTGGAAACCTGGTATACAAAAACTCCATTGTTCTTTACATTCTGTATATTTTGCCTAAAAAATATTTTTTAAACATTAATAATAGTATAGTTAAATAAATAAAAGTGACCTTCATTGAAATAAAGCTAAATGGTTGTGCAATATATATTATGTTGGATTGTATTGTTAAGTATGTATATTACTAATTTTAAATTTAAATAAACTTATGTATTACTAAAAAAACAGGTTTTAGTAAATAATAAGTTTTGTGAGCATCTTATTTCCCCTTTGAATTAATTTTTATACAAAGTGGGTCGAGGTGTTTTCCTGTATATCAACCAGGCTAAACAGCATTGTCCACACTAAGCATAATATAAATAAATCCATATGTCGACTGATAACCATTTTTGTATTGGAACGATACATAATTATTAAACCTTTTATTTTAATAAAAAGTAAATACACAATAGATAGTGATATATAAATATAATAGTTTTTTCTCCAATATAATCTTTAATTAAATGCTTTTATATACAATCAAACAATCATAAACAGCCCATTTTAATTTTTACTATAAATAAAAGTCAGTTAATATGAATTCATTTAACATGAATATTGACTGTTTATAAAGTGATCGACATTTTAAAAATACTTGGTGAAAATAATATAAAAATTATATTTAATATAAGTCATTGAGTAATAAAAATGAGTATTGTTACAGGTCTCCCCAAGGTAATATTAAATTTGATTTCTACAGTACCTATAAAATTGTTTTATTTTTTTGTTGTTGAAGCATCAATTACAAGGTTATTAGCTTACAATTATTAAACAGTAGGACTTATGCAACACAAACATCACAATAAAATGCATCATAATTCACAGTAAAATATTCAGAGGCCAAAGAAATATGCCAAACTCCAGATAACTTATACAAAGCAATGAGACCCTTGGAGATACCAAAACAAAAATTGAATTGTACAACATATAATAAACAATAAAGTAAATATCATGCCATAAATTGAAATTTATTTTTATGGGTTTACTACAGGCATAATTTAATGAATAAAAACAGTGAATTAGAATCAAAAGATAATAATTCAACATTGTTAAAATTTTAAGTCACCTGTTTTTAGAACTGACTCTAATGTGATTGATAAAAGTTGGTATTATTGGTTTATATTTAGTATTTAGTATCAACTAAATTATCATTTTGAAATATTTGAACAATTATTTTTACTTAAAGTACTAATTTCATTAATTTAAATAAAACAAAAATCAATTTACATTTTCATCATTTTTTTTTTTTTCTGAACATCCTGGTTCCCATGTCTGTGAACCAATTTTTACATCCATTACACACGGTTTTTTCATGCCTGTGGTTATATCATCCAAAACAATGAATGTCATATCTAAACAATAAATAAATTCAATTACAAGGAAATAAATATAAAACATAGAAGCTTATATGAATCTACCAACCTATAGAATTAATTTGAACAGTGACAGTACCATAATATAATGGAACTAGTTCCCTAAGATTTATTAGGCTTTCATTTTTTAATAATTCTTCATAAAAGCGTACTTCATTCTTTCCTTTGGTACCACCTTCTACTGATTTCAATATGTAACCTTCTTTATGTTTCAATAAACCTATATGGAAAAGCAAATACACAGCTTGTTTTATGTTAGTTCAACAAACAGTTATTTCATAACAGTATACAAACCCAACAATGGTTTTTCTTTGGTAAATTTATGACCTCCAACTTGATTGTCGTATGGAAGTAGATCGTCTGAATCCAACCACTTAGCCATGACTATTACTAAGAAATGACAATTGAAAAATAATCTATTTATGTCCACCAAAATTAAAATGTGTATGAAATACCACAAACCTTGTGTGAAGTTGGTGACGGCCTTGTGTTTTCAGTTAACATGAATTGATGGCAGGACTTTAGTTACGCTAAATGATGACCATAAAAGTACTAATTGATTTTAATTATTATATTTTTACAATATTTACATTTTTCGAAAAGCATTTACAGAAAAAACCAATTGAATTTTGTAAATTTAAAAAAATTTGATTTATGATTACCCAAAACACGATTATCAATCGCTTATGTGGTGAATACCTTGATAGATATTAATTTTGATTGCAAAACGTTTTTAAACACGCGGCATGCTTAAAAATGACCACATATAGACAAAGCGTCGAAGCGTCCAATTAAATCAAATTGTTGCTTCAGAGTTTAAGACATGATTTGCAAGACGGAACACGAAAATACAGACACTGAGAGTGGTTGAGACATATGTTTCGAGAGTGATAACTATTAACTAATCACTAATCTGGTATCGCAATCGTCATTCGATAAGATGTTATTTACAATCGTTGGATCAAAAATAGAGTCGACGCGCCATCTGTGAGTATAATTTTGAACAATATTAGTCATATTTCAATTTATTATTATTATTATCACTAAAGTAAATAGTTAGGATGTTTATGACTTTTTCATATTTTTTCTTTTAGACTTTATTCACTCACAATGCACATTTGCAGACCAAATTATAAATTCGTTTTGTATGATATTGAATCTTATACATTCAATTTTATTTTCCATGGTTTTGCATTTTTAGAAGTTTTGAGGAATAAGTGCACACTGCATATTTATAATAATATATACATCATAGAGTAATTACTCTATGATATACATGCATATTTTGCATATTTATTTTGCATTATATTTCGATAAAACTGAAGAGTTACAAAAAAAAAAAAAAGATTTTAATTGAAATTATATATATTTGTTCACATTTGTATAATAATTTTTAAATAATTTAAAAAAATTAACATTTTATTTATTAATTTAATATCATATTTTATTGATTTAAGGCATAGGTTCCCAACCTATGGTCCGCCGACCACTAGTGGTCCGCGAGACATTGTCAGGTGGTCCGCGAGCCATACTTACAAAATGTAAAAATATTTTAATAATTTCATTTTCCTTTGAGGCATAACACTAATTATTGACAATCGTGTATAGTACGTTATTTATTTATAAATTTATATTACATAGTGAAACCCATGTTATTAAAAGCCTATTATTCATATAATAATCATCAAAATTCTAAAATATGTGAAAAAAAATTGATTCTTATTTGTAAGAAAAATAAGGTATACAATTGAGGTGGTCCGTGACGTATCAAAAGTTCTCATAGTGGTCCGTAGTACCAAAAAGGTTGAGAACCACTGACTTAAGGTCATGTGTATATATATTTTTATTTGTATGCATTTTTTGAGCTGTTAAGGTCATAAACATCCTAAGTCCTAAGCCTAACCCTAATTATCACATTTGAATCGTCTTAGTACGGGCCTCGTAGTCATTACGCATTATAGTCAATAGTCAATACTCATTTATTTGTATTATACTCATATCCACGGCTAATAAGAACAATAATGCATAATAATTAGAACATGGAAATTGGAACTGTATTTTACAAGATTACAACCGTGGTTACTGGTTACGCCTAGTCGGTGAAAAGTCAAAAGAAATTATTGCAATGCGCGAATGATGTGTTCTCAGTCCACACGAGCTTTTGGCAATATAGTGCCATATCCCTCAAGTCACAATCCTGACGACAGAGTGACGGACCTTGAGGCGTGCTGCGTGCATGATAGAAATTTTATTTCCACCATGGAGGCATATGGCATGCATGTTTGAACTAATTATTTAAGTTTACTCCGATTGGAGCTCAGAGCCGTCCTTCCAGTAGAGCGTGGGGGATGTCTACCCGACTACCCCCCATTGTGATTTTTAATATTTAGTCTTAAAGTGTGACACATGATCAAAGTTCTCAGCATCTTAAAAGTACTTTTATTATTTAAAAAAAATACATATATAATTTGTATACATTTTTCTTTATAGTTGTAATTCGCATAAAATGACGACATCGACGAAAATAGACAAATTTATATTCATTGATGAATTGCCACTGACATGAGACGTGTGACTGTACAACCCATTTTTGATTGATTATTGTTCTGGGTGTTATAAAATATTATAGATAGATGGATACTTTTTGAGTGATATAAAATAAATGCAAGTAATACAATTTAAAAATCATGATTTTTTGAAAGTACCAACCTATAGCTACCTATTCTCGATAGTTCCAAAAATCAGGATTGAAAAAAAAGCATTATTATAATAGATAAGAGGGGAGTGAGCGTACTTCGTGAATGTTTTAAGGTATTATCGCCTGTTAAGCTTGGTTAAAATATTATATTTTCACCACGAGAGTCATTCGTTTTCACATCCCGACAACAGAAACCTCTTTAATATGGACCATTTAAATTTTTTTCTATCTTTCGCATCAGATATATACGGTATACCTAATATATTGCAACACAGTATAATACAATAATGGATTCCTGAATTGAATGAATTATATTCGGTGCCACTATACCGAAGCTCTAGGCATAGTTGCCGATGCCCGATAGGTACATAAATCAAAATTATTATCGATTTTCGTTTCGGCATTACTTAAAAGTTTCAACAACGCGGAACATGTTATATTTATATTGTAATATTTAAACGGCGTCTCAGTGAATTTAGGGAGTAACGCCGTAGCAGCTGAAACGCATGTTTCTGAATTCTGTGTAGAACGATATTTACAAAGTTACAGCACCTTTTTAAGCTATTACTTGTAGTGAAGGTGTTCGACATATATTTTCAAAGGACAATATAGTAAATAAATAATTTTAGTACGATAAAATAATATTTTTATTTTATAACGGATATTTAATTATATTTTAATACATTTTTAAAGAGGAAGCAACACATTTGTTGTTTCCGTCTTACAAAATATGTAAGACATATCAAAATCTACAGCACCCGTAAGTAAACACATTTTAAGTAGAAAAAAAAATTAAAACAAAAATATATTATGCATAACAGGTATAAATAATATAATGTGTTGTCCGGCGCGCTGTATAGGCAAATTAGGTACATTACTGTTATGTTTAATTTTGTCCTTATAATATTAGTAACTTCGACATTTCAATTCAAATAAACTTCGTTCGCCGAGAGAAAGTGGTTGCACACAATCCAAAATGCGTCGTACTCTGCCTCACCCAAATCTACACTCCTCGGCTCCAGCAACAGTCGTAAGTGCGTAGTTACCACATTCCTCTCGGCGAAAGGAGTGTAGTTATGAATGTATATGATATATGTATCAGATATTGTGTACTCAAACAATACACAATCAAATACTAGAATATTTAAACATGAAGAAAAATCCATAAGACGACGAGGGGTAAATCTATGAGAATTTTTTAAAATAAAATAAAGTGTACAAAAGTCATCACATTAATTCCAATATTATACTATTAAAGTGTTAAATAAAGCACCGAATAAACGATTTTTTATAATTATTAAAGTAGACGTATTCACATAGGTTAACGCTTGTTTAGAACAATTTTAAATTGCATACAATATAAAGGATTAATTAAGAAAATACAGAGTTAAAACTATTCAAAACTATACAAACTATGTTTTTTTCTTATGAAATGATTTATTATTATTCATGCCTCATGGAATTCGACACATTTAATAGTTAATGACTTATTGGTCAGTGTGATGCATCAATAACCTTGTACCAATGACTAAATATTTAGTAGAACGACTTTTCCAGTTGTATAATCTGGATGTTAAACAAAAAAACTGTCAAATGATGATTTTGAAATACTATTTTTTTTATATGCGCAAGTTTATTTACGCAAACAAATTATTACCATCTTATTTATTTTTTTAGCTTATAAGTTAAACTTACAATTATTATCATTTATGTCTTATATGATGTAATTTTTGAGGAATTACATTTAATTCCCGTTTCTACGGGGAATTCGATAAAGTATAGAGGGTAAAAATCAATTAGTTGAATTAATGTAAAAAAAGTGAATCTAACAAAATAAATAGAACAATGAACTAACTTAACATGAATTAGTGTCAAAAAAAAAAAAAAATGGAAAGAAATTTAGGGTACCTGCAAGTTAATCCATTTTAATAAGCTAGAATAACAAAATGGTACAAAAACTATAGGAAGTAATATAATATGGAAACTAGACTTCGGTCTGATATCAAATCCCAAAAATTACTAACAACAATAAGTTAATTTAAGAATGATTGTTCAGAGTGCACCTGGGGTTAAAAATTAAAAAAATGTATTTGAAAAAAATAGTTAAATTAAACAAATTATAGTTGGAAGGGGATTGTGGGCGCCCGCAGGCCGAAGTCAATTTTAAATTACAAACAAAAAAGACTAATTTATTACAGTATTAAACTCATAATCTCATACATTTTTTATTTGTTATGACTTATAAATAATGAAAACCTTTTAAAAAACCTTAAATATTGTCTTCCCTAATTAATTTATAAATATATATATATATTTTAAAATCAATTTCAATTATTATTTGTGGTTTGGTATTAGGTATTACTGTATTTTGGTGTTTTATGATACTGGTGCAATGCTCAACTTGAAATTAAGGCAGGTCTAGCTAATACTTCACCCACCAACCTAAACTGGATAATGGCATTTACCATCATATTTTTAACTATGTGTCGTAGTAATCACTAAAATACTAATTAATTCTATATTCATTTTATACCCATTGGTCATTACCAACCCAGCCAACTATAATTAATTCTCAGACAGTCACCTTGAATGTAAAGTACATTTTTCTGCCTATAACCAAAAAAAAAAGTTTTCAGTATAGTGACAATTCCTTATGAGTGATTTTTAACTTATTGTAAATTTACACTCAACTATTTTTTTTTAAATAACTCTTATACGAAATTGTGTGGACGTTTTTTGACTATTATAAGAAAAAACAAAAATGTCTTAGGTATAGTTATAATGTATACTTAAAACTACCTAGTAAGAATAATTTGAACATTTTATCAATATCAAGCCTCAATACCGTTAATATATAATATTACCTACCTGCTATCTTTAAACTTGATTAATTACCTATATAGATACATTCTGTGGCACATAACTAAGATTACATTTGGGGGCAAAAATTATTTCTCATTACTCATTGCCCACATTTGCACCATACTTTTACTTAGTACTCTGATATCATCAAAATGTTGGGCATATAAACACCTAAATTTTTGGTATTTTAACTCAACACACGTTTTTTTGACAAATTCGAGCATTATAAGTTTGATCGACTTTTTTGAAAATACCATCAAAATAAGGATGCAATAACACACATTTTGAAAAAACAATCCCAAAATTCGTATGGCATATAAATTGCATTTATGC